TTTATATTGCCAAGTGGGTCTCTGGATTTTTGTCACGAGATCTCTGGCCTTCTCCTACCTTTTTCTTCTGATGGGGTCAGGGCACAATCAGGGCGTTTTGAGGATTCCCAATATACTTTGGGTGCTATCCATCCAATAGTCTGATCCACAAACCAGGGGATGCATTCCTCTGATAACACAATATCTCTGTCCATTCCTCTTTCCGAAGAATTTTGTTTTCAAGTCATTTGACCGTGTTGTGATATAGGGAACTCCGAGGTCTCCATCTATGTTTTTAATATTCTTTCATTTCCTGGGAGAATGAAAGAAAAGCTCAGCCCATTTCTCTAACACCCCCCCTTATACCTCATGTTGCTAATGTTGCTTAAAGATAATAATGTTTTATTATCTTTCCTAATCATAGGACTAACAAAATATAAAAGCCAGAAGCTTTCATTGGTAAGAGTATGCGGATAGCATAAATCAGAACAAAGTCTTCCCTAGGCTGCCTCCAAGAATGCAGATTTGCCCTGTCTGAATGTATCATTCACTATTTTAATAACTGGTACTATTAAGGTGCAAATTGCAACTTTTAAATAATGATTGCTAATAGCCTTATGTTTACTGCCACACGAGGACTTTCATGAAAACAAATTCTGCATTATTCATTTCTACTTCCCATAAACAAAGTAGATGCAGCTGGTCTCTCTCTCTCTCTCTTCTCTCTTTTCTTTCTTTTCTCTGTCGTACTTTTGGGCTTTCGCTTCTTAAAAGGGAAACCTCTCAGGGCCCAGCAGAGGTAGGAAGGGGAACCAAAGGGCAGGGAGGAAGCAGAAAAGAAAACTACTAACTCCAGGTTTATATTCAGGAGCAATGAACAGCAAATTTACAATGTACAAAATAAAATATGCACATCTCAACAAGCTCTAGGAGGAGAGAAAAGCATAATCCTGTGGAATTGGGTTTGAAAGCTATTTCCGCTATAGAAAAATAAAAATGGAATTAACATATCAATTCAGTCTTAGTCCTAAGTTTTTCCTTTCTATTGTTACACAACGGTGATTCCCCAGAGTCACCTGTATTTTTGTCACTCAGGAACAACCTTCCTAGCCTGATTCTCCTCTTCCTCTCTTCTCCTCTATGTAATCTCATTGGCAGCAGGAGCATTTTCTACTGTCTTGCAGCCATGGGAGAAGAGAAGAATCAGACAGACAATCTGTAAAGCACCTTGGTTTTTTTCAGGATGGAGGATAGCAACGCACATGATAATATATCATTGCAAATCAAGGTATGATGTAATGTCAGGCACTGACCTAAAAATATCCAAACATCTGCTTAAAGAATTATGCAGACAATAGTCCAAAAGAACAATTGCTGCTGAGAAAGGAATCCGGAGGAACATATGCATTTGACCCAACGGCTTGTTTTCCCTGACTCAGAGTACCATTTCCGAAGATGCTTTTGGAAAGAGAGAAGGTTTAAAAGTGCCTTCCTCATCCCCTTATCCACTTACATTGCTGATTTTCATTATGGCACTCTGTAAAATATAAGGTTGTCATGGCTTAAAATTAATGGGCAGTGGGGAGAGGGATTGTCATGTTTCCAGGATCCAGAGGGCCATCCTCCTTGATTCCTTTGCTTGTTCTCTCTAACCTTTACGATGTTCATTAATCAGAGAAGAAACCTGTTTCCAAAGTAGATGCTTGGACGTAATTATTTACAGTTGTGCATAGGCATTAAATCCAAGGCATAACCAAGACAGCTAAATCCAAAACCCCATCACTTAACTTTATTTTTCTCCACATCCCTCCCACCCCTTACAGACTGGCGGTCTCAAAAGTTGTAAACTTTTTTTTTTTCTGAATCGAAACTCAGAATCAGACAAAAGAATCAGACAGACCTTTCCCAAACATGCAATTCTTTTTTTCCCCTTTTCTTTCTTTCTTTGCTCTTTCTCCCTTTTGAAGAGGAAGATTAAAGGCTCAATAAAAGAAAGCCAAAGAGAATAGTCGTGCCAAACATCGGGATAATCAATTATTTCCTTCCCTTCCTCCTCCTGTTCCAAGGCCACACTGTGGCACAGAGACTTTGAGACGGTATTCAAGAACCTTTTTCATTAGAAGGCGGGAAACAAAAAAAAAGTAATCTTACAACAATTGCTAAGCTACAATGCACACCCTGCGAGTCAGAGTTGTCCAGTTTAATCTTGCTTCAGGTGGACTCTTTTGGAAAAAAACAAAAACCTAAATTGTCCCTTAAAGAAACCAGCTGAAACCATACAGAGTGGAAAACAAAAGAATACCCGAAAGAAGATACTGTTGGAAGGAAACCACAAGTAATATTCTGTAGCAGAGAAAATGAGGTGTGCCCAAGTTTTCCAAAGTATCTGTCTGGAAACCTTTACAAGAAATAAATGATCAAGGGAGCATAACCCTGGGCACAGGCCAAGGATGGCATCCCAGTGAACCAGTTGAGAAGACGCCATTCAATCACTCGCTGTTGCCCAGTATCTTATCTCCTCCTGCCCCCCCACCATCAATCCTATTTCTTTCTAATCTTGTGCATATTTTGAATGAAAAGCAATTTATTTAAAAAGACAGTCAAAGAGGGGAACATTTTGAAATGGATGGTATATTTTATAGATGATGAGTATCCATGATAGCAGAAGTTACAAAAACACTCTGTGCTTAGGACTTATTGGGCTTGGAAAGTTTAAAAACAAGAAGAGTCATAAAGACCAAGGAAGATTTCTTTTTTATTTTTATTTTTCTTTTTTTTCTTCAAAACATTGCATATGGAGAAGACCTAAACTGCAGTACTTTACATTGCCGTGAAATAGGTAATAGCAACACTAACAGTAATAGTCATGTATGATTTGCTTTGCAAATTAAGTTTATATACAGATGAGTTCTCTCTTGGATACTTTTATGTGGATTAAACTCCAAATATGGAGAATGTGAAACACACACACACACACACACACACACACACACACACACCTGAACTGAATCATGTTTGTAAAACTTTCCCAAATCTTTTCCTTCTGAATTTATTTTCAATGTTGAACAATTCTCAAACATTACAGCATTTACTCCAGCCCATCACCCTGAACATCCAAATAGTTTCATGGGTAGGGAAGAGTTTGTTTGCTCTTTTAAGAAAATCAACTTTCTTTCCTAGTACACTTTTAATCTTACTGGACACAATGACACACACACACACACACAAAATGGGTGGGGTAGATAAAAGAATAATCCCAGCCACATTAAAGCCAAACAAGATAACAATTGTACTTGCCTGGCTAAAAGAGTCTAGAGAGGGCAAGACTTGCGTCATTGGCACTCAGGTTACCATAGTGAGTGATTTATTGATATATATCAAGAATGAATAGATCAAAGGCAGCAAGATGACAGGTGATCAATCAAATGTCAAATCAAAGCTGGCAATCAACTGGAAAGCTGGTTGTTGTTGGTTTTCCCCCGCCGCCCCCCTGTGAGTGGGTCTGGTGACAGAGAAACGAACTTCTTCCTCAGCTCTCGAAGCTACGGCTAAAAAGCCCCACCAACTCTTCGGACCTCTTTCCAAGTACACCGAACCAAACTTGAACCGAGGGTTCACAGCCAGACCAAGGCGAAGCCTTCCCCCAGTTACCGCCTTCCCAGCCGGGCCAGCCTTCAGTTCTTTGGCTTCGGGAGCGTCCGCTGCCTGCCTTCCCCCCCAGCCCCCCCGTTTCCCCCCCCCCCCCCAAAAGTTGAGCGAGCTCTCCGGCTCCTGCAAATCGCAGCCCCGCCGCCTTTGACCCGGCCTTCCACCCCCCACTCCCACTCCAGGCGGCCTTTGGGCCCTCGCTTGGTAACTTGGCGAACCGGGCAGCGTCGAGCTGAGCCCAGCCGTCGAGCGGCCCGGCCCGGGCAGTGGGAAGCACAGGATCCCACACCTCCACCGTAGTTGCCCGCCGCAGATCCCCACTCTCCCTTCCCTCCCCCGCCCCCGCTCCGAACGCTCACTCGGTTTCCGGCCGGACTTTCGCTTTGCTTTCCCTTTCTTTTTCGCACGCCGAAGAAATCAAAGGACTGAACTTCACCCAGCGGGGTTCATCCACAGCACAGCCGAGCTTGGCCGCCTCCCAACCTCCCCTCTCTCCCCCTCCCGAGCTATTTTTTCCCGGACGAGCGTCTCAAACTGCTGCAAGAAACAAAGCTTTCCAAAACAAAAAACAAAAAAAAACCCGGCACCGCTGGCGGCCGCCTCCTTCCTCCTTTCTAACCTCCGCCACCCACCCACCCCAGAACCACCACCACCACCCCCCAAAGGGGAAAAAAAATCCCCCCCCCCCAATCCTTTACGGACGCCGCCTGCCTTGCAAAAAATACAGGTCCAACGGTACATCCTGCCCAGCCACTCACACACACCCACACACCCATGCCCGAAGCGATGCCAAGCGGGGGCGAAGCGAGGAGGAGGAGGGGGGGCTGCAAAGAGAGACGGAGGAGAGAGGGCGAAGGGAAAGCCGAGCGGAAGAAAGTTGCGTGCGGGGGGTGGGGGTGTTGAGGAGGAAGGGAGAAAGTTTAAGGAAACAGTAGCTTGGAAAAGCGGGACAAGGGACACGCCAACGCGTTCCCCCTCTTTTTTTTCCCCTTCCCCCCCTCCCCCCAAAGCGAAAAGACAGGAAACTGCAAACGAAACTGATTCAAATCCCGTCCAAGTTTGAGGAAAGAGGGCTTGGTGTGAGTGCGTGCGCGCGTGTTTGTCTCTCTCTGTCTCTCACTCTCTCTCTCAGTGTGTGGTGTGTGTGTGTGTGTGTCAGAGCGAGAGAACCCGAGCGGGCGAGGAAAGAAAAAGGGGGCTGCAAAAAAAAAAAAAGAGAGAGAGAGAGAGAATCAAGAGGCGGAGGTAGACCTGCTGGCAACCGGGCGCGCGAAGCGTCTGAATACCCGGCACGCACCCACAGAAGGGATGACCCACCAGCCAGATCCGGGGAGGCGGGGAGAGGAGCCGGGGCGCCTCGCTGTCTTTCTTACCTGCCGCCCTTTTGGGTGCCTGCTGTTTCCGCCTTGGCATCGCTGTACTTTCTTCAACCTCACACTCTTCTCTTCCCAGATCCGAAGCCGCTCCGAGGCTGGCGGGGTTTGTTTGCTCCCTCTCTCTCTCTCTTTCTCCCTCACTCTCGGCGTGCGCGCCTGTGTGTGCGCGCCTGTGTATGTGTGTGTGTGTGTGTGTTTTCCTCCCTTTCCCTCCTTCTCAGCCGCTCAACGCGGCGGCGGCAACCAACAGCGCCGAGCGCCCTGGCTTCTCCTCTATCAACCTGTTCGGAGTCTTTCGGGATGCGGAGGGTGGCAGCTTTGTTTGGGCTCTTTTCTCTCACTCTCTCCCTTTCCTCTCTCTCTCTCTCTCTCACAACCAAAACAGCGTTGGAGAAGCTGAGGGGGGGGCGCCTTTTTTGTCCCCCTTGTTGTGTTTGAACTATTGCGAGACTTCCTTTGATGCCAACATCCAGGCACATCCACGGCAAAGGAGAGGAACCCTCGCTGTGCGCCGGGGCAATTTTGGGTTGTTGTTGTTTTTTCTCCTTAAAGTGGATCAATAAATAACAAAATCGGGATGCATAAATAGTTCTGTTTGCTCGGCTGGCGAAGGGGGGGAGGTTTGCTATTTCCTCGCCTTCCCCCCTGGCCTTTTTCCCCCCTTCTCTCCCCCTTCTGCTCTCCGCCTCCTTCGCGTAGCTCTCTCTCTCTCTCCTCTCTCTCTATGGCGGCTGGGCGACTATCCGCCGTGAAACCTGCAGGTTTGTAGCCGTCCAGATGCCAGGTTGGGAGTGATGTGGATGAGGACGGAGGAGCTCGGGGGATGGAAGGAAATCTGGGTGTTCACACACACTCACGCGTCCACACACGCACGCACGCAGCCTAACCCACATTCATATACTTACTCACACACACACTCACAAATACACACAGACAAACATACGCGCGCGCACACACACACACACACACACACAGGCAGGACGAGGCGATGCCAGGAAGCATCGATCCACGGAGCAAACTGTGTATTAGCAAACCCCTCCTCCGCGACCTGATGACAGGATGAAATTTACTCCGAGCAGACAGAAGGCAGTCAGTTTATTAAAGAGACAGGACTTTGGCTGATCGCAGACGTCTGGTTCGGAGGGGGGGCTGAGCGGGAATGGGGTTTGAGGGGATGCAGCCGTTCCGGAGCACCAACCTGTGTGCCTATCGACATTCCCCCCCATATCCCATGTCCATCCCCTGCGACCCTTTCCTGCAAGCCCCATTTTCTCATAAGTCCAAACCCGTTTCTCCCTCCCTGGGCCGTTTAATGGGCCATTCATGACATCTTGAATTCAGTCTGAAAAATTGCTTTTCCCGGCAGAGGTTGTCTCGGGATTTGGTGACTGTGAGCTGGTATACTGGGCTGCGGAACATGTTTAGAGTGCTTTTTATCAAAGGATTTTATGATACAGCTCTTTCCCCTTCGCCCTGCCTGCAGTCTCTTCACATGAACAGATGCTCTTTCTTTGCATTTCTGCAGGAAAAATAAAAGAGAAAGGTGGTCCTTTAAAAAAAAAATATCTTTCTTGCTCTCGCACAGGCGTGCCGCATTTTAACTCTGTAATTCTCCCTTCTCTTTTGAAATGTTATTTTGTCCCCCCTCCACCTCCCCTTTCATCTGCACGTAAAGCTAAATTTAGAAGCATACAAATCCCTCTTCTCTTTTCCTCACTTTTGGAAATAGACCGCTGACAAGTTCTCACCGCCGCCCGGAGAAAGGCATCTGAAAAGCCACTGGATTGTCTCTGGAACAAGCTGTAGGAAGTTTCCTTTTATTTCCTCTTCCTCTGTTTCACTCAGGTGTTTGGCAGAGATGGGCAGATGAAGGTTGCAGCTGTTTGTAGGCTGGTACGTGCTGAATATAAGGTCCACAGAAGTGGAGAACAAACTTGAGAAAACTGAACTGGGAAGAACAAGTTGGGGAAGAACTAAAGGCAATAGGGTTCCCGATAGATTTCTTATTTCGACAAAATGCTTATTGGGAGGGGGGGGGGGGCCAGCATGCCTGGGCAGCGTATAGAAAGCACACAACTTGGACAAGGGCACATAGGGAGGGTCTTCTTGGAGCTGTGCGTGTGCCGGACGAACCTTTCTGCTGTGTGAATGCACCCCTAAAGTATTTGGTTATGGTCAGGTTTTACGTTGCTGCTTTGTACCACTTTGGAACTAAACTTTCAACAGCCTTATTAATTTGGAGGCATTTAAGTTAATTGTTCTTTGGAAACTACAGCCAGGCTGGCATTTTCTTTTCAACTTCTGCAGCACTGCAGCCTTTGTGGATGGGGGGTCTCCCGTCCCAATTTTCGGAGCTTTTAGCTGGCCATCCTTTTCCCCTCCCTCCCTAGAGATTCAGTGTCTTCTTCTCTGAGCTTCCTTTTTCCTGAATCCATTGATCAGATCTTTCCTCTCTCCTTCCCAATTGCCATTTCTTCACTTTTGAGAAAAGCAACTGGGGTGGGGGTGGGGGAATCCACACTATTATTTCATCCTCACAATTTGCAGAGATGGATGGTGTTTTTGGGGGAGGGGACACCTAGAAGAACTTGGTGGGGTTCTTTGGATTACTTAGGTTCGGAGTCTTTTTTTTTTTTTTTTGCAATCATAGCAATGTCTTAAAATTTTGACAAGATATTTTGGATCTCAAAATATCTACTGACAAACATACAGTAGAGGAAAGTTGTTGCTCTTCATTTAAAAAAATATATATGAAAGTGAGTGGGATTTTTGGTACTCCATGACTATGGATAGCTTAGGAACAATATACTCCTTGGGGTGGGGGGTGCGGGGGGTATTTGTATTTTTGGAAAGAAAGACAGTATAATTCCTGTTTTATATAATTCCTGTTTTATTGTTTGTTTGTTTTTAAAAAAAACATCATTTCTATTTATGATTTCTAGGCTGGCAGTAGTTTTAAACTGTTTTGCAGGGAATGGGAAGGGGTTGAACAGGCTGTAGATATAGAAGTATTCTGTCACAGATTATATCCTGTGAAGAATATATACATGTCTTTTACACCTGGAATTCATAACTAGAAAGGAACCTACCTTGTGTAAAATGTGTAAAGAGGAAGTAAGGTTACAATTTGAGAGTTACCCAGACATTGAAAACATCTGCAGCCAAAACATCCAACAGTTTGGCTACTATTTTCAGCAGAGGGGAACAGAATGGGGGACTGGCTGCTGTTACAAACTAAATTTAATAGAAAAATAACGACTTTGTTCCTTTCTTACCCCTGGATTTAGAGGCTGGCTCAGGAATGTCTACAGAAGTAGTCAAGATGGGAGCTGCAGCCCTGTTATCAAAGCACCCTCATTTTTTTTTGATTGATACATAGTATGATTGCAGTTCACATTATTTTTTAATTCTTCCCATGTGGACAGCCCTGGCTTGGCTTTGGATATGTCACCAGTTTTCTTGGTGTCATTTAATTCATTTAGCTAAATATGAGAGCTAATGTAACACAAGAAACATACAATTCTGCACATCATTCTGCCCCAGTGCATGGATTCTACAAGATTCTGAATCCATTCTTGAAAGGAATCAAGTAAAAGGGAAAATCAGCTCACATTTGTTACCTGCCCAGAGTCATATCTGCAACATGGGTGGTCATATAAACTAATCTAAAACAAACAAACAAATGGAGAAATAAAAGCTCTCAAACGTTGTTGACTGAAATAGCCATTAAGGAGAATGGGTGTGTATTGAATTGATAATCTGATGCTCCATTGCATGCCCACAATGATTTTTACCTAGTGTTGAGGCACGTAGTAAAAATGATCACATGTCAACGAAAGCTGAAATACATCTGGTTGCACAGCAGGGCAGTTGGATGTGGAATACATTATTTGTTTGTTTATTTGATTGATTGATTGTCATTGCTGTTCCTTCAACCAAAAATAACACTCTAGGCAGCACATAGTATAATACAATTACAATTTGAACTATAAAACTGGCCAATTAAACCCATAACAAATTAGCGCATATCAGTCAGAAATAAATAACAAGTCCCCATCATAATCTGCCATAGTGTATGGAGAAGTCATCAAATTTGACCAATTCAGATCACAGCTGGCACACCAGTGTAAAATCCCACTTCACTATCTCTGAACCTACTAACAGTGCAAAAAGTAAAAACACTCCCAAACTGCAAGGGACTGCACATTTGTTAGGTTGTGCCTCAGTGGAAGGCATAAAATTCTGATCTGTTTCTAAAATTGAAATCCTCCAGTACTATAAATTTAGAGTAATATTCTACTAAATCTGGACACACTCCTGCTAGCATTAAGGAGCCCTGGTGGCACAGTGGTTAGAATGTAGTACTTCAGGCTAACTCTGCCCACAGCCGGGAGTTTGATCCTGATAGGGCTCAAGGTTGACTCAGTCTTCCATCCTCCTGAGGTTGATAAAATGAAGACCCAGTTTGTTGGGGGAAATATAGTGACTCTGTAAAACTGCCTAGAGAGTGCTGTAAAGCACTATGAAGCAATATATAAGTCTAAGTGCTATTGCTATTCATAGAAATCTTGTAGAAAGCAGAAGGAATTAATCCGAAGGACAGGAGAGAGACTGACTACCAAGGCAATCATCAGATAAAAGGGGTCTGAGTCTATGCCAAGAATGCTGCATGGATAAACATTTCTGACAAGCCCTTCTTTAGTTCACATAAATGCAATTAAATAGGAAAGATATTGCAAGATTCTGTTACTAAAGCTCTAAAATTAAAGAGCTGCTAACCTACATGACATTGGTTTTCTAGGCCAGTCTACCTTGATAATGGTCCTCTGGCAGTATTCCTAAATTGTTCAAGGAATCTAAATGTTCAATGGGAAGTTTGTTAGATTGAGCATCTTGGTCAGTACAATGCATTTCCATGACCAATCCTAGCTGCTTCATCCCCAAGTTGACAAGTAGGCAGAATTAATGGAGGAGAGTAAATCATTCCTTTTTGTCTGATAGTTCTTCATAGTACAGGATAAGAAATACTTTAATTAGACCTCACCTGATATATTGAAGAATAAGGTTTTAGACCACGGGTAAACTCGATTGTGTCATGGGCCGGATTGTGACCTATCGTTTTTGGGGCTTTGCAAAGCTAGGGTGGGTGTGGCCTGTGTATATTTGGCTCATGGCTGCCATTTTGATAGGCCTGTAATTTTTTAGACCATCACCATGGTTACTTTGACTTCCTTGAGTAGGCTGCAACCTAAAAGGTCCTTCAAGGCAAAGTTTTCCATTGGAGTTTGAAACCAATTAAGCCCTCAGCTTAAACTAGTTTATACAAAAGTGATTAAACACTGAACACTAACTCTGCATATCATTGC